GAGTATAGTAATGTTCTCAAAAGAAAATTTCATAAAGGAATTAAACTAAATTTAATTATATTTCAGCCATGGTGGCTTCATCACTCCCTTGAGAAGGGGTTTTTAAGATAGCATAATAAGAAAACAAAATAAAGAAATAAAAACAATCTTTATAACAAAAATTATAAGAAATAAATTGAAGATAAAAATTCTCTAACTTTTATTATTTTATCTCACTAACAATGTCCATTTAACCTCCTCTACATATGTCTCTATTTATAGAGTTTAGAATGGAACGGGAGGGAAAAATTCTAATTACAGAAGTGAAAATAAAATAAAATAAACTCTTCCTAAAATCTTACTGCTTTCCAATCTGGCTTGATATCTTTAACTTAATGTGCTTTCCAATTTCAAATGATATTTTTTCTAATTTGGCTTGATCTTTGCTGATTTGATGGAAAAGTCAAATTTGAATTGGACTTTCATTGATTTTGTAATATTATATTTTTGCTATTTTTGTCTCTTTTCTTCTTATTCCAAAATCAGCCACTATAAAATATGAAAAGTAGGGATAAGAACATTTCTCTAATAAAAAATATTAATTAATCATTTATTATTAAGTATAAAATAACAAGTTTTGTGCGCTTATCAGAGCTTCAATCAGCTCGCCCTTTTAAAAGGGAAGTGTATTTCACCAAGCTTCATGAGCTCGCTTTAACAATAGAGTAGGCTTTCCCAAGCTTCGTGAGTTCACTTTTTAATAAGAGAGTGAATTTTCTAAGTTTCGTGAGTTCACTCGTTAAGCCGAGCTTCATGAATTTGTCATTAGTAAGGGATTAGGTTTCCCCGAACTTCATGAGTTCATCCCCTCAATAATTGAGGAAATTATAGGAGTTTAACCTATCTCTCCCTTTAGAAAGGGAGTAGTAGTGTTTGAGGATGCCCTGGTGATGCGACCTGTAAATTATTGAATGATAGTCTCTATCATCTTCCTTGGATTAGATGACCAATTATGTTCGTTCTTCAAAAACATCCTTACTGGATAGCTTTGTATGCTAGCGACATATCTCTGGCAATAGTGGGAGACCTGCATGTCTAGCGTTAGTGGGAGACCTATTTAGTCATGCCTTGTTGAGAAACTTGCATAGCATTGGTACAACATTTACCTGGCATTGCCTTGGTTGGAGACCTGCCTAGCCTGGCCTTGGTGGGAATGGGAGACCTGGCCTACCTTGGTGAAAGACCTAGTTAGCCTTACCTTAGTGGAAGACTTGTATGACATAGGTGCAAGATCTGTCTATCATTCGTATGAGACCTCCTGGCTTTGCCCTGGTAAGAGATTTACCTGACCTTGGTGAGAGAATTGTTTAGTCTTACTTTAGTTGGAGACCTCTCTAGCCTAGCCGTGGTAGGAAACCTTTCTGCCCTGCCTTGGTTGGAGACCTAGTTTGCCCTGCCTTATTAAGAGACTTGCATAGAATTTTTGCAAGATCTACCTGGCCCTGCCTTGTTAGAAAACTTGCACGACGTAAGTGCAATATCTGTTTGTCATTCGTATGAGACCTCCTGGCGTGAGACTTGGCCTTGCCCTGGTGGGAGACTTGCATGACGTAGGTACAAGATCTGCTTGTCATTCGTACGAGACCTCCTAGCCTTGCCCTGATGGGAGACCTACATAGCTTTTGTGAGAGAATTATACGGTCTTACTTTGGTTAGAGACCTGTCTGGCCTAACCTTGGTGGAAGACCTTCCTGAGCCTACCCTGGTGGGAGACCTGGCCCTTATATAGCTGTTTGGCCTTGCCTTTATGAGGTTTGGGTGAGTTTTTCCAGTGCGAGGCTTGTTGCTGATGCAAGTGAGCTTTGCTAGTACGAGGCTCGATTTGAGTGAGCCCTTATCAGAGGCTCGATGTGGGTGAGCTTTATCAAGAATTTGATGTGGGTGAGCCTTGCCAGTGCGAGGCTTTGTAAACCCTTACTGATGTAGGTGATCCTTGCTAGTGTGAGGCTCGATTTGAGTGAGCCCTTATCAGAGGCTCGATACTTAAGATTTTCCCCGATATTCAGATCGGATCGCGACAGAACCCTAATTTCTTTGGGAAATCACTATACGTTCCCATAGACGGTGCCAACTGTTGAAATAAGTTTCTGCATGATTCCGAAATGACACCGTTTCCCTGCAACAAGAAGTGAACCTTGATCGATACCACCAGCCTGCCAAGAGCTCTCCAACGATCAAGTCAGTTACTAGAACTCTGAAGTAAAAGCAGGAATTTAATGTATTAATTGTCTCATATCTCTTTGGTTAGTGAGATGTCATATTTATAACGATGCTATGGTACAACTGTTGGGATTTGAGGAGATATTCGAAGAGACTCTTCCTTTTGAATTTGAACTATTATGATCTACTTGTTATTAGCTCAACTGTCTCCGTTTAATTTCAAACTAGTCAACTACGGTTTTACTACCATATCTAATCGGTTTGAACTATCTTATTTAAATTATCCTTATCAGACGGCATCCACACAACTCTCTGAACCTCACCATCAACTCTGTACCAATTCACATGAAACAAAAGGAATTTTAGGTTTGATGATCTTATCCGAGCCTCTAATTGCATTGAATCGAACAACCCATAATGCATATATCCAACTCTATATCCCTCAACAACACCCATCACTCTAATCTCATCTTCTGCCCACACTACGTCAATTTCCTAACCTACTCAGTTCAACTCGCCACCAAAATCCTCCATAACTTTAGCCTCTTTATCTTGCAAGATTTACGCTTTAGAGAGAGAAGATGTAATGAATGAGTGCAATTAACTAAGGAAAAAAAAAATGAATGAGGGCAATTCTGTCTTTTCAGATTACTGATATTTTGGAATAAAAAACATTAAAAATTTGGGGATAAAATAGTCATTTTGCACCATTTTTAACGGTGCCATTGACAAAAAAGACATTTGAGGCCTGAGTGATAGTTATTTTCGAAAGATTTTCAGTGTGATATTTGTCCAAATCTCAGAGGGTGTCACTGGAATTAATTAAAAAAAAAAAAAAAAAGTGAAATATTGGTGGGCTTATTGTGAATAAGGAGAAAATAAAATGGATAAAATAAGTAATATTATAACATGGAGAAAACCAAAAAAGCACGTGCATCTATATATTGCTAATAGGGCTGCAATCGAGTCGAGCCATGGTGTGCTCGAGCTCGGCTCGGCTCAAGTGATAAAATGCTCAAGCTCGTCTCGAGCTCGAGCCGAGCTGAGAAATTTTGGTTCAAGCTTGGCTCGACTCTGTTTGACGAGCCTCGAGCCGAGCTTGAGCTATTTATTTTTTATTTTTAATTTCGCATCTAACAGATCTAGAAAAAAATAAAAAAAAATAAAAAAAAAATTGAGAGAAATAGATTTGCAGCAATAAAAAGAGAGAAGTTTGAGAGAAAAAGAGAAAGAAAGTGATAAATTTGATCGAAAATTAAACTTACCAGAGTTGATTTTGATGGAAGAAGTCAAGAGATGCATAGATCAATAGTAAACCCCAAAATCTATACTAAAAATCATTTTGGATGAAAGACAATTAATACATAAAAATCAAATGTAAGAAGAGAAAGAGAGAGAAGTAAAATTCCATGACAGAAAGCAAATTGTTGAATGTGTTACCACTGCTGCTTGGGCTACTGATAAATTTAGAAAAATGAAAGATGATTAGGGTTAGACATAGACATGGGCTTAGGTTTGATTGTACAGATGGGCTTGTGTTTGAATGTACAGATGGGCTTGGTTTTTGTTTTAAAATGAATAAATGATAAAATTGGGCCTAAAACATAACTAAAAAATTTAATGGGTTTGTGTTTGATTGTACAGATGCGCTTGGTTTTTGTTTTAAAATGAATAAATGATAAAATTAGGTCTAAAACATAACTAAAAAATTTAATAGGCCTGTGGACTAAGCCCTCATAACATAAAATTATATATTATAATTGGATATATATATATATATATATATATATATATATATATATATATATTATAATCGAGTATATTCGCAAACGCCTTATTGAGCTCAGTTTGTGAACGGTTCATGAACAAAAGAACCGAGCCTACTGATGTTCAGGCTCGGCTTGTTTATGAATCGAGCCGAGCCCGAGTAGTTTACGAACGGCTCGGCTCGTTTGCAGCCCTAATTGCTAATGGAAAATTCTTTCTAATGGCCCTAAGGTTAAAAAAAATCCTACTTCCCACTTTGAAATACTTCCCACTTTGAAATATACCCGGATAAAATAAGTAATATTATAGCTTGGAGAAAACCAAAAAAGCACGGGCAACTATATATTGCTCACGGAAAGTTCTTTCCAATGGCCCTAAGGTGAAAAACCCTACTTCCCACTTTGAAATACACCCGACGACTTCTTTTATTCGATTATATGGTTAACTAGATGTGATAATTAAGAGTTCTTATTGGACTCTATTTATGAAGTAACTACAAGAATATTTTTTTCAAAACTTACTTCACGACTCAACTTGTTTTATTCAATTATATAATTGCCTTGATATGATAATTAATAGTTAAGGTAACTATAATAGTTCTTAATTAATAGTTTTTAATGTTGGTTTAATGTGTAGCTAAATTGTATAGATAGATCGTTACATGTAAGATAAATTATTAGAGTGCACTCAACTCTTATTTGGTAGTTGAGGCCGGTCAAAACTAATTTTTAAATTTTTGACAGTATGTTATTACGCTCAACTCTCATTTGACGATTTAGGGTGATCTAAACAAAATTTTAATTATTTAATTGAAAATTTTTAATTCAACTTGTATCACTAGATAAAAATTAATACATAATAATTAAACAAGATATAATTGATGCACAAGGATTTAGTAGATGGAAAGTCTTTGGGCAACACCTTCTGGTAATTCTTTCACATGAAAATGGCATTTAAAAATGAAAAAATGAAAACAGCTACTGGGTACGTTTTATTACAAAGTAACTCGGTTTCCGCCAACAGTTTCTCTTGAGCAGCCTCTTAAAAGGACTCATTAAATTGGCAACTTTCTCAACCGGTCATCGTTTAGACCAGCAATCATCCGAGTTCACTAAATAGCACCTCAACTTTCAAATTATTACACTTCTACTCCACTTCTCACTCTTCCTCTTCGCTTCTCGAATTCTTCGCACTGCAACAATGGTGAGAGGCGCATCTCAATCCCAATCATCATCTTCGTCGACCACCAGACCCGGTCCCGTCGGCATGGCACCGCGCGGCTCCGCCGCCGCCACTGCCGGGATGCGACGTCGGCGACTCGCCAGCTCCTCCAGCGGCTCCGCCGGTTTCGGCGGAGGAGGAAGTGGCTCGGGAAGCAACGTGCTCAGGTTCTACACTGACGACGCCCCCGGACTCAAGATCTCGCCCACCGTCGTCCTCGTCATGAGCCTCTGCTTCATCGGCTTCGTCACCGCCCTCCATGTCTTCGGCAAGCTATACCGCTACCGATCTGGTGACGGAGCTTAGTTTTCCGGATTCTGATCAACCGAATCAAGATCATCTGTCGGATTCTTCATGATCGGTAATTGAAATGCCACAAAATTTTCACTCTGTAAATTTTTTTTTTTAGTTTTCGTTTCCCTGTCGTTACTGAGCTTAAATTGGGTATCATTTGAAAGTAGAGATAAAAGTGGATTTTGGTTTCCGTAAGTTGAAGTTCGAATGATGAAGTAATGCATGATAATGTTCTCTAAATGATTTATGTGATCAATATGATTTTTTTTTTATTTTAGTTGGCATGCTCTATGATTAAAGAATGATTATCACTAGTTTCTTCAAATTCTCGATGTAGCTAACTGATTTTGGATTTGAGTCCTTCTTGAATGAAGCTTGTTTCGTGTTTTACTGTTTCTTGTTCTTCGTAAGATTTTTAGTTGTAGAAAGTTGTGTGTTTAGGAGTTGATTTATTCAGCATAAAGCTTGGGAATTTTGGTGTATACCTAAGTTCTGATGAAAAATGAGACGGATCGTATTGAAAAAAAAGGTGGATGTTTAGGGTCAAAAGAAAAAGGGAACTAGATGATGTGTACATTGTTGTGGAATCTCCTTATCTTGAATTCATGATTCCTTTATTCTATGCTGTACTTTGATGGACTGTGACTTTTGTTCTTAAATTTTGTTTTGCTTTTAGATTTTATTTCATAAATACTTCCAAATTTTTTTGTCCTTCATGTTTAGTAAAATAACTACTCATATATAACAAATTGTTTAAAATTTCATTGAAATAACTGGTTAAACTGGAAATAATTTCATGGGTTGGTCTCCGAATACTTCACGGTGGCTTCGGTTTCTGACTGTTTGGATTGTTATTACATGTTGCTTTGGTATATGTTTTGTGCTATTTTAAACTGCTATGGTACTTAATGGATGGTTTCCCTGTTATATTGTTGATGGTTGCTTTGTGGCCTTGGTGCTTTACTGATGGTTTCCTGAACATGTGGAAATTTTCATGCCGCCTCACTACATGGTTACTTTGTTCTACCATGTTTTCTGGACAGATAGTTGCATCAATGCCTTGGTGGCTTTTGTTCAGGAAAAACAAAGATGTCCCAGACATTTTTTTTTGAGACCTTAAAACTACTGTGCTCTCTCTCTATATTATTGACATAATGTGTAGTGTTTGGTTAGGAAAAATGTGGGGCCTTAAATTACTTTATAGTCTCACTACTTGCCCGAGTGGAACTTTTTTGGCTTCCATGATACTTAAATAGATAGTTGTTTCTATGATTCGTTGCCGTAATGGATGGTTACATCAATGTGCCTGCCTAACTTACCATGAAGCATAAATATGGTGACTTCGATCACTAAGCTACCACGTGGCTTTGTTACACAGTGGTCTGGGTACTCTGTTGCTCCAATTTATGAAAAATCTAATGTATCTTAGTTGCCTCAATATATTTGGATATGATCATGTTGCCTCTGCTTCAATATGTAGTATGTGGATATGTCGTGTTGCCTCAATATATTTGGATATGATCATGTTGCCTCTGCTTCAATATGTAGTATGTGGATATGTCGTGTTGCCTCAAGCTGGTATCAAATATATAACTTTTAGCAAGCCTCGCATGGTTGTCTTCTCTCCACGATTTATTGTTTTGTGAGACCTCAACTACCATGTTGCCTCAGTATGAGTACTAATAGATTGAAACACCATGTCACCTATAGATGGATGGTTACTTTGTTAGTTATGATGGTGTTTCCTTAACTGATTGTTACTTCATTGTGTGCATAGTACCATATTGCCTAGAATGATGATTTCTTAAATACATGGGAACTATTTTGTTGATTCAACATATTGTTCCACCTCAAGCTAACATGTTCCCTTGATAAACAGAGTCCAGTGGTACTACTGCAAACCACAATGTTGCCTAATAGATAGTTGTGTTTGAAGCTTCTTTCATTATCTTATGACCGTGTTAAAATGTGGAAACTATTGTATCCCCATCGTTTTGTCATATGAGCCAGTAGGAACTTAAACTTCTATGTTCCCCTAATTAACAAGTTGTGTTGGGTATTTAGTTGCCCTTTAGCCCTACCACAGTATCTGATGGTTGCCAAAGTATGTGGAAGTAACCTTGTCGCCGCAATGTTACGGTCTAGTAGGTCTTTATACTTCAATATACTGTCTCCTAAAATTCGATCTTATTTGATAGCTGCCCCATAACACATGTAGTCACTATGGCTCGATACGTCGTAACCTCAACAAATGGTTGCCATGTTGCCTTCATACATAATTGCCTCAATATATGGGAGATAGCGTTGCTGGATAGGGAGTTGCCACAACGCATTTTTGCTTAACTGATTCTTGCTTTGATAACATCTTTCCTTGGTACATGTTCTTAAGGCTTGATAGATAGTTGTCTAAGCATATCGTTATGGTCTGACAGCACCTTACCTCCGTGATATGTTTATCTAGCGGAGACAAAAAAAAAAATTCCTTGTTCCCTAGAAAGGTAGTTGCCTCGTTATCATATGTTGATTGATGGTCGCCTGAACATGTCCAATTATTGAGTTGTATTGTTACATAGTTTTGCCTAGAGTAAAAGCTTGAAGCCTTGTTGCTGCATTATTCGAAAACTAGGTCGATCCCTGAATACATAGTTGCCTTGATGCCATGGTGGATCGATTGATGATTGGTTTTGTATTTGCATTACCAATATTACTTTGATATATATTCCTTTAAATGAGTTCGAGCTATGAACAGGACCTTAAACTACATGCTTGCTGATATATGATGGTAATTGTTATGGTTGAAAACTTTTTAGTGTCCGGGTTAAAACTTCGATCTTGTTGTAGAAGTGGGCGATATTTGGAGGCGAACACGGATCAAATTCAGAGTGTTTCCAGTTTGTTGTTGACATTAATGATTCCTGTGAATGCAATTTCAAGTGTGAGTTTTTGAAATGCATCTAGCAATGGTAAACCACTGCCAGTAGGAACTCGAATTTGTTTCATTTATATATATATATATATATATATGTGTGTGTGTGTGTGTGTGTGTGTGTATGTAAGTATAGAAAGCAGTAATTTGAACTCTTCTTGTTAAAAATAAAAAAAAATATGTAAAATATATTGAACTCTTCACTTAATATTTCAACAATTCTAGTGTTAAACTTAAAGTGAACTAAGCCGTAAATTAAGTAAATTACTTTATGGGTAAACAATTGTTCCCCTGCCTCACCTTAAGACTAAGCCTTAATATTTCAGCAATTCTAGTGTCAAGTATAAAGATATTTTAGATCAACAGAAGTATTTTAAATTTCTATGTTTTTTTATAAAAAAAAAAATATGTCTTTAAAAAATTAAGAATGGCAAAATAAATAATATTAAGACTCAAAATGTTTGTACCCTTATACTCTTCATTTCTTCATTTTGTTTTTAAATGACACAATTGTGATTTTTTTTTTTTACCAAAGATTAATTAAAGTACAGAGTTAAAAAAAAAAAAAAAAATGTCCGGATATTGCATCCTACAAAAACAAAATTATGTAATTTTCAAAATAGAAAATAAGTATAAAAAAATCAAAAAGAAAATTTTCACATGATAAATGTTTGGGACCATCAAGGAGATGAACCACTGGGAAACAAAAGGGTCAACCCATTGGCAGGCATGTCACTTATAATAGCCCAATGTGGAGCCCATTTTAAGTAAAAGTAAAACTATATTATCCACTCATTCAGTGGCGCACCAATCACTGGCCCAACAAAGTCCAATCAGAACAGAAACTCGCTTCGCTATCTCATCTGTGCTGTCAATTTTCAGTTGAGCAATTAAAGTAATCGAATGTAGTCCCTACCACTGATTCCCATCGGATCCACCAACTGTTATATAGAGAGAGAAACAGAATCTAGAGAGAGAGAGCGAGTGAGTGCAGAGAGGCAGGCGGACATGGAGGTTCGAAACGACGCGACGATTGATAACTTGTCTGCCGATCATCGGCCTCCGTCGGCGACGCCGTCCAAGCAAGCCAAGGCTTCTCCGAATCACGTCGACACCAATTCTGTTAAGCAGAGGTGCAATTTATTGACGGACTCTCGTATTTTCATTATTCGTTGATTTTGATTTTTCTAATTTCAATAAATTGATCTGTTTCTTGCAGGCTTCAGAGGGAGCTCATGTCTCTCATGGTATCTATCTTCACTTCATAGTATATAAATTTATATTTTCGCATATACATACATTATACTATATATATATATATATATTATTAATTAATTAAGTTGCATATTGTTTCTTATATCTGAAATTTGAACTTCTCTTATGATTAAATATTTATTATTTATGTTTTGTTTTGGTAATTTTACTTGATTTTAGGATGTTCAATTTTTGGAAATGCTATTATATACGTCAAATATTTGCTAGGTTTTATGTGTTTCGATGCTTCCGTCTATAGTGGTGGACCTGCTGGTCATGATTGAATTGATTCCAATACTTTGTTACAAATCCAGGTTACATAGAAAAAAAAAAAAAAAAAAAAAAAATTTCTTCTTTGGTACTCACACACACACATATCTGAGACTTGAACGCGTGGCCGAAACCACTATGGCACTGGCCCATTGGTAAAAAAAAAAAATTACATAGGGAAACTAAATAATTTTTATTTATTTATTTGGGAGTTAGGTAGACAACCCATACAATTTTTTTCTTGGCCATTACTATACTTGATGTTAAATTTTGATCACCATTTCTAGATGTATGTCATTTCCTTTTTTTATGGCCTTTTACAGATGATGAGGTATATGATCAAATGCCTATGTATGCCTTTGCGGAGTCATTTATTCGTTTACGTGCTCTGTTTTTTACATCCTTCTTGCTGGAAAGGTAGGGAAGCAACCCTTTCCCTCGCCAATTAAGCTAGTTATGAAGGAAACAAGTATGATCGAACACCATGAACACAAAATAAAAGTTCCAACCAAGCAACATGTTATAATCGAGCCACCAAATTTATGTAAAAAACCTTTCTAAATGGGAAGAACCATGAGGTACATTTGAAAAATATGCTAAGTAGAAAATAATGGTACAAAAGGTAATATGTGTTACACCACAATAGAGAGAACCCACTTCTACCAATTCATCAAAAGTTTGGATGGTTTTCCAAGATTAAATCGGAGTACACTTGGCTGGAAATTCCAAACAGGAAATACAATAGGCAGAGCCAGGAATTTTTGCATTTTTTTTTTTTTTTTGTGTGGGGGTGGGGGAAATAATTAGAATAAAAATCAAATTAGTAGTCTAAAAATGTAATAGAATATAATTTGTAATTAATTTCTTACAACAAAAGTTTTAGTATATATTCTTTATATAAAGATAATGTAAGAGATTATTTATAAATTAAAAACATTTCGTAATGTTTACGGCATACAAAATAAGAAGAAAGGAAGTAGGGACTATATTTATTCTTTATTCAGGGGGGAAAAAAAAGGTAGATTATATTTAGTCTTTTATTTTACCTCTCTCTCTCAAAATGCAGATTATACATGTCAACCATGTACAAATTTCTATATCCAGATTTACAAATAATGTATTCTCTACAACAATTGTATGTGTAATATCCATCTTAGGGAAGTTTAGTTCAGGCTTCTTGATGGTGTCTCATAAGTCATAACATGCTGCTTACATATATTAAATCATTATGTCGTCTTATCTATTCTTCTTTCCCATACATTTCAATTTCATGTAGAGAAGAGGTTAAAAAAAAAAAGAAAAAAGAACTGACTTAGCAAACCTTACAAATATGGAGGTTATAAACCCAATTTATGGGTTCGTTGTTGGTTTAAAGATAAAATAAGATGGTTAAAAGAGGTCTATTCAGTCAAATTCTTATAATTGTGATGATTTTTGAGGTTTTTTTAATTAATGAGGGTTTGTGATGTACAGGTTCTGAATATCACCTTAGCAAGATTTGTTGGTCCTTTAATAATGGAAAAAGTATAATGGTAAATTAAGCTGGTGCACGCCCCCTCCCCCAAATCACACTTCTTAGTAAGCATAAAAAATTATATCCCACCAACCACAATTCACAAACAACACTTCTTAGTAAGCACATAAATTTATATCCGGACAAAGCCTAATCCATTCTACTTGGGGAATCTTGTTGCCAATTAACTCCCTCACTGGACATATCTTTTACAACACTGTAGACCAACATTGCCTTTATCAGTCTCAATAACAATAATGCTATATTCCCGTCACTCTTTTTTCATCTCTCAATCTTTATTATTTATTATATTCTTTATTGTCTTATTGCAAGTGGTTTATTTGGTAAGTGATAGTTTTCATTGTTGTTACGGACAGATGAGCGGAGGAGATCTTGGTGTATCTGCCTTTCCTGAAGGGGAGAGCATCTTTACTTGGATTGGTACTATTGAGGGGGGCAAAGGAACTATGTATGAGGGTTTATCTTACAAAGTTTCTTTGCGCTTTCCCCTTGATTATCCTTTCAAGCCCCCTCAAGTTAAGTTTGAGACAATGTGCTTCCATCCAAATGTTGACCAGTACGGAAACATTTGTTTAGACATTCTTCAGGTATCGATAATCTTGGTTATCCTTTTTCAGCAAAAAACTATTATAAAACCATCCCAAAAAAAAAAACTATTATAAAGAAGATTTCCCAATTGCGTGTTGATGAGGAGGAAGACAACCTCTCTGCCTATTTTTTAACACATACGACACACACTTGAAGGATTTGGATATGCTGTAATCATTTATGTTGGTTTCTGAGTTATTCAGATGGGAGAGAAGGTCATTTGATCGACAACTCTATATATATATTGTCAGTAGTCATAGATTCTGGATCTATCCCAGTGTCTGCCTCAGCTTTTAGTTTGGGGAAAAAAATATTTGAATAAAGTACTCAGGCCTCTACAATAACCTTATCCCCTGTGCATCTGAGCAGAGTCCCATAGTGGTATTAGAAGTATGATTAAAAAATGATACTTTGATTTGTTATTTTGTATGATTTTTTTATTTTTATTTTTTGTTCCTGTTATATTCCTCGTAAAGCTTGCTAGAAGATTTGCTTAAACCGAGTGGTGACAGGAGTGATCAAGTCATTCACAATTGTATTTGTGCCTTGGGGGTTCTGTATCCTAGGTATGGGATGTACCCTTTATTTTAAAACTGATGCTAACATCTTCGTCATTCTTTGCAGGATAAGTGGTCTTCAGCTTTTGATTGCAGAACAATTCTTTTATCCATACAAAGTTTATTAGGAGGTTTTTCTAAATCTTTTAATGGATAATATTTATTTTTCTTTTTGCGATTTCACATGTCTTATTCTCTAGTTCTCACATGCAGAACCCAATATCGAAAGTCCTCTCAACAGCTCTGCTGCTGTACTATGGAAAAACCAGGAAGGTGTGAATTTATCTTCTTCCTTCAATATACTGCCAAGACTTTGCCTTCCTCTTCTTTTTACTTTATTTTATTCTCTAATCTTATTTGGATTATTCGAGATCCCATGATGGCATTTCATTTTTCTTTTTTCAAAACAAAAAATTTCAGAAAGGGATTTTGAGATAAATAAGTTACAATTCTCTCATTAGCTTAAACTTTTGAAGCAGCTAGTAATTAGCATGGTATCAAAGGCAAAACATCTTGTGTTCGAATCATATGACGCCTTTCCATTACTAAATGCTATACAATCATATGAACATAAGAAAAAGTAACATGTATCTGTGCTGCCATTTTATATAGTTTGTATTATTTGTACTTATATTTAATCTTTTAACTTATTAGCAGATTTTGAGTGATATTTTTTTTTGAAGGTCTTGAGAAGATCACAGATGATCTTGGAAAGAATTTTCACTGAACTATTGTTGGACTTCTTGTTTCAGATTACAGAAAAATGGTACAAAAATACTATATGGCTGGAGAAGAGTTTGAGAGCTGATCTGCCAAATTGGAGGCCCATGTATGCACTTCCTCCATAAATTATCAATGCAGAATATGTCTATTGGGGAAAAGTGGAGATCTCCCATTGATAGTCTGAGCTTCTAATTTGTAATTACCAAAAAATTTCCTGGACTTCATTTCGGTGTGCGATTTGTTTACAATTGAATTTCTCCACTGGATAGTTGCTGAATAAATCTACATGTTAATCTTCATATGAATTGTTTTCTCTAGGAGTTTGCTTCTCTTTCTGATCATTCAAAAGGAATTTTACCAGTTAATTGTCATGCCCCGCCAATTTGCAAGGAGGTTACGCCACATAGGCACTGAGAATGACTCTACATGGCGTCTGCGTGGCATGTGTGGACAGTTGGATTTTAGAGTCTTCCACACTCAAGGAATTGTGGATGTTGAGAGAGGTGGAGGATTTAAAATATTTTAAAATTTGTAGACATTTGTAGAATGGAGGATTTCAGAAAATTAGGGAGTTGAGCAAGGTTTGTATAAGAGTAGATCTTAGTAATTGATTGTAATGCATCCTAGCCTTGCATTAGAGGAGAGGATGCATATATAAGATGAGGAGTTTGTCTTTTTGTAGCCGCTAAGCGAGCGTGAGAGTGCCTAAGCCACCAGTGCTTTCAATGTAGGTTAGAACAAGAAGAAACAAATCAGAATTTAATAGACCCTATTTGAGAATATTAAAAATATTTAGCATTTATTTTAAAATTTTGAAAAAAATGGTGTTATTGGCCCTTCACAAAACTACCATCGGACTCCAACATCAAAGCTGCCAATCCAGTAATTAATGGACTCGCTTCTTCAGTTCCAACAAAATTAGGGATGATATGATAATATCGTATATTCTTAAAGAGCCAAGAACTTTGAGTCCTTTCTCCCAAATTTTGTTAACAAGAATCTATATTTTATTATTGGTTTTTCCAAATTTTTGAAATGAGTATCAGATCAACGAATATTTTGTCCTAAATTAGAAGGGCAGGTCAATTTCTGGAGCGCAATACCAAAATTTAAAATATTAATTTCAGCGGATATAAAAGAATGTTTGATCTCTTTTGTTGCGAAAGACACAAGAACCAAACCGCGAAGAGTTGTGCGGCTGACTGATTGAAACTAAAGAAAAATATATATTTTATTAATTTTTAATACAATAATGATTTTTCTTACTAAAATTGTGTATTGTACGCAAGAGTTTTTTAATTGAATTTAAATTAGATTATTTATATTATTTAAATTCAGAATGTAATATTATCAACTAACTAACCCTTAAAATTATATATTAATTATTCAATAAATTAATAATTACAAAATTTTAATAATAAATTTTGGGATTTATTTGTCTTTCAACGGATAAAAAAAAGGACTTGGTAACTCGTCTATAAAACCTCCATCAGAACTCTGATGTATTCCAGTTTTGCCGCAATGTTAGTCCCAAAAAAACTCTATATCCAGGTTTACAAATAATGTACTCTCTGCAACAATGCTACTATATGTAATATCGGGAAGTTTAGATGAGGCTCATGTCTCAAAACATGATGCTTTCATATATATATATATTAAATCATTTTGTCTTCTTATCTATTCTTCTTAGTTCTTTCCCATACATTTCAATTTCAACTGACTTGGTAAACCTTATAAATATGGAGCTTGTAAACACAATTGGGACTTCTATTGGCATTTGAGATATGTTGGTCTAAAGATCAAACAAAATGGTTAAAAGAGGCGGTCAAATTCTTGAAATTATGAGACTTATGAGGTTTTTAAATTAAAGAGGGTTTTCATGGCAAGAAATATACTTAAGGGTTGGGATGACTCACCATACTTTTGAGATATTTTATACTTTTTCTTTTACGGGGGAGTTAAATTTGGACAGTCTATTTTAAAAAAATAAGAAAATATCACTAGATTACAAGAAAATACTTTAGAAAGATTGTTGTACACGACCTTTAACTATGGAAAGGATAATGGTAAATTAAACGGCCCCTTCATTATCCTTTCAAGACCCTCATTTAAAGTTTCCGATTATGAAAAGAACCTTCACTGAAATATTGTTATGAAAAATTGTTGGACTTCTTGTTTCAGATTACAGAAAAATGGTAGGCAAACACTACATGGATCACTTGATCTCCAATGGATGGTCTGAACATCTAATTCGTTATTACCAAATTTTCACTAGACTTCGTTTACGATTTGTTTACAATTGAATTCCTCTGTTGTATACTTGCTGAGTTAATTATGTGCCCTCTTGAAGTTTGCTTCTCTATCTCACCATTCAAAAGAAATTTCACTAGGTGATTGTCATGCCTCGCCAAGGTTACGCTAAGTGACGCTAGGGTGGAACTAGAAAATTTCGATTTGGAGGAGAAGGGAGGGCGAATTACTTTATAAATCAATTATAATTTATATTTTTATAATATTTTATTTTTTTAGTATATATTGAGAAAAATAAAACCTAAATAAATAAAGATGAAAATTTGCTATGAGAAAGAAAAAATAGTGTAGGTACAAGAATTCTCCTCAACATCCCAAAAAAAAAAAGAAATTTGTTTATACAACACTCTCCAACTCTTTTTGACTCTAACTTCCTATTTGTCCTCTGCCCTAAATCCTCGTTGCTTGGAGTAGAAGTTGAGCCATCATGGGCTTGGACCCTCTTTGTCTGGTTGATTTGCCCAATTGGTTCTCCTTCCGGATTACCCAATCCATCTTGGGTTTGGAGAGAATTTGGCCCATAGCAAGTGTGATATGTCGTCCTTGACACGTGGCATGCTGTGGTTAGCTAACTCTTATTAGTGGACATTTCTACTCCACATATAGAGATGATGAAACTATATGTAAAAAGAGAACTGGATACCAAAAAATAATAATAATAATAATAATAACATTAACATTGTTAAAAAAATTAATTTTCTTTTAGCAATTGTTCGATTTTTTTAAAAATCAATTTTTTAAAAGAAAGTTGAGAACTTCAATTCCAATCTTGATGAAAGATTAAGGAAAAACAAAAAAAAGTATAAGAAAATATTGCAAGTTTTTACAAAACATGATTACCAATAACAAAATAAAGACGCGTTTTTGTAACTTGTATAAGGAGTAGCTACAACAAATATTTGCATATACGACGCCAACTAAAAATGTTGTTGGCATGTTTGTCATCTTTATTCCATAACACTTTTAGTTTTTCATTGTTCCTAAATCTTAATGCGCTCAGAAGGAAATTAAAATATGATTTAAAATATTTTTCTTGTAAACACAATCTAACAAAATTTCTCACAAATAATGTATTTTTCTTTAAAATGAGGAGACATTAGTGTAATTTTTTCTTTTTCTCTCTTAATTTTTTTTCCGCCAATCACAAAGATTCTCTTTTAAATTGATTTAATGGATATTAATCATATTATACATGTGGTTATGTAAATGGAATAATTATCTATTACAATAAGGGTTACTATAATAATGAACTACTGAGTGACTTCAAAAAGTAAGGTAAAAATGTTCAAGTTGATAGTTTTTTTGAGTGTTTTTTTTAGTTTCAAGGGGACACAAATAATATTTATTTCAAAACTCACCATTTTTGGGCCTACAAATTTTATTTGAGCTTTGGGATTAAAGTATAAGTTTATTTACAAAATAATTGTTTTGGGAGCTATAAACCAAATAAAATTCAATTTTTTGGGGGTCTAGTCTTTGCCCATGAACTCTTCTATATTTTTGCAGTGGATTGTGAAGTGTTGAGAGAGTTGGAGGATTCTAAAATACTATAAATTTTGTAGTGATAATAGAAGATTTGGGAGTTATGCATAGCTTATAAATATTTTGAATATTTTGGTGAAAAATTTTAGAAGTAGATCTTAGCCATTAATTGTTGTAATGCATTAAAAATATGATGTCTATAAAAGGGATAATGAATCTTATTCATAGTTATTAAATTTGTTATTAAATTTTGAGAGTGAAAGTGAATAGTCTCACAAATGTGTATCTGGTGTGGTTAGAATAGAGGAAATCTAGTGCTTGATTCTTCCATTTTTAAAGTTATTATCACCTAATTAGCAATGTCCGGTATGTTTTAATATAAAATAATATAAATGATGGTACCTATTAGTAGACTAATGATTGAAAACCTGTTTGTTTTCTCCTTTGGAAATTTCCCTTCTGTTTGCTGAAGATTAATAATGATTATAATGTTGTTTCGAATTCTTAATGAATAAATTTTATTTCACTGAAAATTTTTGATTCTACTTTATATTATACTTTCACTTTACTTTTGGTTTGGTCTCATTTTCTCATTATACTTTCACTTTACTTTTGGTTTGGTCTCATTTTCTCATTCTTCTTGTGTTGGGTGTCTTTAAGCATAATTTTTTTCACCCTAAAAATAAATAAATATATATATATATAGACATGTTTTAGTTTAGATATGTATCATTCACACTTCATTTAGTCATTAACATGTTTAGTCCATTATACTCTCCAATTAGTTGAATAATATCTTAATTTTTTAATTTCTAATTTAAAGGATGTATTATTCTTAATGTCGTACACGGCCTGTACCTAATATGAAACCCCAAATCAGGTTCATTGCAGGCAAAGTTGGGCCTCACACACAAAAATTTGATTGAATATAAAGGCTAAAATCATAAAATCCATTTTTTGTTTATAAAAATTATCAACTAACCTCCTCGATTAAATAAATTATTATATTATCTTTTAATGTTTAAAAGTTTACCAAATCACCCCCTTCTCGTTAGTTCCCGTCTAAAACTAACGGGAGCAAATCACAGTAATTTTAATTGACTAAATTACCCTTGTAATGATGTAATGACCAAACTACCCTTTCCCACACAACAAGTATTGCACGTGACCTTCCTACGTTATTGATGATGTTGGTTTTGATTCCATTATTGGCAAAACTGGTTAGGGAAAAAGAGAAGGCTTAGACGAGATTGGTATACCAAACCCAAGTTGATCTGTCATTCCGTCCATGGGTTTATAGTCTCAATAATGTCCTATGCCAATAGTTGATATGCTCAATTCTTAACCTCTTTACAAACCAAATCGGTGACCATGGTATTCATTGATTCCGGTGATTTACCATGGCGACTATACAGGCTCCATAGATTCTGGTGACCATGGTGTCCATTCATTCCAGTAGCAATTTATCATGTGTTTAAAGATGAATGGATTGATGATTGCGACCCGATTCCGGAGAAGGTGAAGG